AGCAGTACCCATATAGCTCAAGATTGTGAACTACTTGCACATACTCTTGACCAAATACACACTGCATCAACAGCACTGGAATTAGCTGGCAACTGCTCAGCAACGGGAGTTGGGAGTACAGTCCTTTGGTGCGAATCCAGTGCTGTGCTTGGTAGTTTCCATTTTTCTATTTCTAGAAGATGCATTTTACTTTGCATTGATATCTTAATGACTTCCCTGCTCAAACTGAACCAGGTGTGAGAATGCTTTAGAAACAGTCTATAACAGGCACTATTAAATTTTTTAATATGTGACTGTAAATGTCTTTCAAGTTTAATAAAAAATGACACCATTTCCACATGCTTTTTGAACAAGCTATTTTATTCTTTACTCACCCTTCCATTATTTCCCTTGCATTCTTAATGCTCTCTTTAAATTACTTAAAATTTCAGATGTACTTTAAAGAGCTGAGGTACTGAGATCTGGTGGAACCCTGTACAAGTCAGGGGAGTAGAAAGCTAGAAAAAAGTGTCTGAAAGATTTGTTTCAGCAGCAGAGTTTACTGTTTGCTGGATCAGAGGACCATATGGGCTTCTTTTGACTCCAAATGGCTTAGTGTGGGGAAGTTCTGCCCTTGCCTTGTTTTCCTATTGCCTTTGTGATATCCAACAAAGATACTGGCCTGAGATCTCCTTGTCTGGCATCTTTGTACTGGAATGATTTCCTCTACTAGGATCTGATGTGTTGGCTGCAGTGAATGTCCTCACAGTGATCAGTGAAGATACTATGTAAGAAAATTTGGCCTTTTTTCATGTTAGGAGATTGGTATTTACAAGACTGTAAAAAAGGGTTGATAAGTGTTCAATTTTTTTTTTTTTTTTTTGCTGACTAGTATCTAGACTTACCAAAATATGCTTATGCTACTTTCTGAAATTTCTTTCTCTGTAGCACTTACAGTGGTTTCAGAATGAGTGGCTATTTTTGTTGTCATCATAAATAACTGACTTCTGTGATTTGTTGTCCCTGAAAAATATAGAACTAATGGTAGTATCAAAAGAATCCCAACAAGGTTTAGATCTCATTGTGCTGTTTGTATCTGAAAAGACATCCCTTTTCTGGTGAATTGGCACAGTGAAGCCACATGTGTATTTTTTTTACGTTTGTTTTTTCTCTCCATATTCAGGATTGGGTCATCAGTGGGCCACCCACAGTCTTTTGGCTCTCAGGATTCTTCTTCACTCAGTCTTTTTTGACTGGTGTTTTACAAAACTATGCCAGAAAATACACCATTCCGATTGACCACATTGGATTTGAATTTGAGGTAAGAAAATGCAGAGGAATTTTGGTTTTCTTGAACAGCTTGAAACATGTTCTGGGGCAGCAAGGAATAGTTTTTAAATTAAGAGAAACTTTATTTAAAGGAGCAATTTCAGACTATCACTTATCGGATTTAATATACTCTAGATAAAATAAAAAATAAAAATCAAGCAATGGTTTAATCATTCTAGGTGATGAAACAGGAGCACACGATGGAGAAAATGCCAGAAGACGGGGCTTATGTGCGAGGCCTTTTTTTGGAAGGTGCACGATGGGATAGAGAATCCTTGGTAATTGGAGAATCACTTCCAAAAATCCTCTATGATTCTTTGCCCATAATTTGGCTGAAACCTGGAGAAAGTTCCACATTTCTTCATATGAACATCTATTCGTGCCCTGTATACAAAACAAGTGCAAGAAGAGGTGTCTTATCCACTACTGGCCACTCAACCAACTATGTTCTTTCAATTGAACTCCCTTCAGACAAGCCCCAGAAACACTGGATAAATCGAGGTGTGGCAGCACTATGCCAGTTAGATGACTGAGAGTATGCAAGTCAAAATACATTTTGTTATTAAAAGATGTGCTTTACTCCCCAATGGCTGATTTTTTTTTTTTATATTTGGATTTCCTGCTGACTTAAAAGCAGCTCCTACATTCCTTTGGTTTTTAGCTATTATCAGCCACTGAGCAAGAGTGAGTGAAAATAGAACACTACAAACAGAAACTTATTTCAAAGGCCTGAGCTTTATCTTACAACAGATCAGAATGAACAGAACTCCCTCCCATCAAACTGTGTGCCATACACATCACTACAAATCTTGTGAAATCCTAATACTACCACCTAGTTGCTATCATAGAGCTTTTTGTTGTTGTTGTTAAAATAAAATTGGGACCAAAGAGTTTTGCATCTGATTCTAATGGGAATCTAATCCACAACTCTTGCAAATAAGACTCTGTGGATTTGCCTACTATTTCTGTGTCCCAGGAGTATAGTTGTTGTCAACATGTAAAACCAATCCTCAGCTAGAATGAACTACCAGAGCTGTATTATAAACCTATAGTAACTGACAGTCCTTGAAGATGTGCCTCAGAATTTCTATGGAAAACTTCTAGACAGCACATGCACTGAGAACCTGCCGTTTCACAGAGCAGCATGCTTGTCGCATAATTTTTAAACTTTTTAAATTTTGGTATATTTTACCTACATATCCCAGGTGACTGATAAATGGAACTGTTCCCTTTCTACTATAGTCTCATTTTACTTCCTCATCTTGCCCTTTTACATGCTGGAGTAATAACCACTGAAATTTTGTAGTTATTTAAGCCCTTTCATCGGAGAAGCTCAAAGTAGCTTGCAAACATTAATTACAAATAAAATAGCCTGAACATCTTCAAAGAGCTGTGCAGTCATTAACTAATCCCCACAGCATGACAAGAAGGTACTAATGATGCATCATTAGACTTCTTGTGTACACAGTACACCAGAAGCACAAAGATCAAGGCAAACATTTAAAAAAAAACCCACTGTGTAAACATCCACTAATTTGGGGTCTTGTATTTTTTTTTCTTTGCCCAAATTGCAGCATTTTAATGACTTGCTTGAGGCCTCACAAAGTCAGAGATGCAGCTATAATTCAGCAGTTCCCTGTATCCTGCTACAATCATTAAGTGACGCTTCTACAACTCATTAAAATATATGGTTCTTGTCATAGGAATGCATCTGTTGTGTTGTGCTTAGCTGTTACAGGTGAAAACAGCATTCATAATTGTTTTATTAACCACTGGTTTGTTTTAGACAGATATTCATCAAATAACAACTTTTAAGAATGGTAACATACAGATAAGAAAGAAGTGTTAAGGTATGTTGTACAGTGCTGCTCTGGACAAAGATATACACAGGTAATTAGTACAGTATCTTCATGTACATATGTACCATGTTTGATGCCTCATTAACAATACGCAGGCATTTGGTGCATCATTATTAGTGGTGACTAGGGCAAAGATGTCAGGCCGGGACACTTAAGGTTATTTTCAATAAAAGGGACAGAGATGTGCAGGTGTTTCAACTTACTGATAAGAAGAAACTACTCTTAAAGAATTCAGACTAAATGGCATTTGGCACCTATAGCAAAAATAAAACTTTTTTTATGAATGTTACAGCACAGTCATCCAAACTGACAACATTTTTTGAGACTTGTGTTTCAGAAGATCTATAATAAAGATTAATTAAAATTGGTCCTTTATAAAAATTGTCTTCTTAGGCCTCTTAAGAGGAACACAGATACTTTGTACTTTTCATATCCTTATAATTAACTGACATTTACTACATATTTAAAAAAAACCATTGTGGTAATTACCATATTTTTGAATGGCTGCATCTAACTGTTGCTATCACATCAACAATTCAGATCATTGCTTAAGTCACTGTGGCATCAAAGATAACAAACCAGCCACAAGCCCCCTCTTAGAGGTGCTTTTCACGCAGGCCAGAGGCTGGGCCTAGCTGTTAGGTCCTTCCCAGTCGCTGCTCTCAAAAGGATCCTTCTATTTAGATTTAAGCTTATCCATGCAAGTGACTGGTGACAGCTTACCTGTCACTGCTGAGGCACTGCTGAAACGGAAGCTGGGGCAGTGATAGAGTAATCCTTCTTAAAACACTAAAAGGAAGAGAAGTTGAAATTTGAGGACTGAGTTTCTTCATCCTTCTTCAGATAATGCTAGTCTTGCAAATATAGTCCTCTAGATTAAGCCATTTTAAATTAAAAGCCAGATACACTAACTAAATTACATTTTATGTAGACAGATTACTTTTAAACTGTGGAAAATACTGTGGAATAGCTTGCCATATCTTACTTGTTAATCAACATAATCTTTTTGTCAACAAACACTAACGGATAGTTTATTAAATGACACAGTTGTGGTTGTGAATATATAGTGGCTTTGCTACTACATTGTGTGCAATGTCCTTGTTACTGTGTTGATTTTCTAAATGCTTCTTCTGTGTTAATGTTTAAATTTGAGATGAAGGCATCTCTTACAATGTAATTAAAGATGTATTTCAAGGTTTTGTAGATGTGACCAAAATATATAGGTAAGAGTCTATAAATGAGGGTTCATGCATCTGTTGCTTGCCCCTTCACCAGGGATGAGGCATGGCTGAGTTGCTTTAGGTGAGGATTGCTGAAGTATGTGATTTCTTGGACTGTCCTTACTATTAGAGAAAAAGTAATGGAATTTACTGTTGGGGGATATGTCTTAGAGGTATTTTTCTGCGGTTCTTTGAAATGAGCTTCCCAACCTTATTTCCTGAGCATTCTCTAGACCTTCCTGAAGAATGATAAGCTGGCTAAACATTAGAATTCACAACCTGTCTTGGCTGAGATGCATTAAAAATAAAAGGCAACTCAGCTGTTAGTTGGACATGTTAAAAGTGTGAAACATTTTTTAACAAATGAAGTACCTAGTAATAGTAATGTCAGAATTCTTGGCTTTACAGATTTAGTGTTTCCATTTCTTAATAGAAGCTCTCACTAAACAAACCATAAAAACCACCTGTAATTACTACAAATCATAGATTCACAGCCTTGCTAATAACTCAAAGCAGATGGAAAACAGATGCAGTACACAGACACTACACAGCAAGAGATTATTTTCTCCTTCAGAACAGCAGACAGATTTTTCAGCTAGGGATGCTGTAAGACAGATAGAGTTAGTATATTTTCTTAGGAGATGGAAACCTTTCTTATATCCCATCTGTACAAAAATCCATTTCAGAAACAGAAAGTACTATCTCTAACTTTAACACTGCTGGGCTGTTAAAGAGAAAATTATACAATGAAAAAGCAAAAGACAAGACAAAGGCCCTGAATTATTCTACTTATGAGTTCCTATAAGCTAGAATGTTTTGCCTAATAGCATTAGAAAAATTAGTGAAAGGTGCCAGTCTTTCCTGTAATTACCATTATTGAAAATTAATTTGTAAGTGTGGTCAAATAAGTGACCTTTCTGTCTGTGGATAAAAGATGGATGTTACTGATGGATACATAGTAGGGCCCCAAGAGACTGAGGTCTAGGTTGCCTTATTTCCTCCAAATCTAAAAGGTATTACAAGAACAAACTTGTATTAGGAGGAAGATAGATCAGATAACCTGTTTCAGTTCTGTGATACTTCCCTTGGAATAGATTGGGTCACTGCTTCAACTTAGTGAGCGTTTCCTCACCCCTAGACAACACCGAGGCATATGTTCAGTAAGCAGGTGCTGACTCCATCTTCTTAAATGATTGTGTGCTTGCTAATGTGTTAAATTTGTTTTCATAGGAGCACGGCTTCATAAATTACAACCTTACTAATGATGGAATTAGGGACAGAATTTCCAGAGAGATGTTATTTCTATATTCAAGGCCAGATATCGTGTCAACAAATTACTGCTGCATTGCTTACTTGTTAGCTTGGAGGAAAGTTCATGCAATTGACTCAGGATTTTTATTTCTCAAGAATATAAAGTTAATGTTATATTTTTATTCTAAACTGTTCTAAAGAATCTCCTGATTAGTGTGATAAATTGGAAAGAGACAGTATTTACTGGAAGGGGAGTAAGAGAGTTAAGGTCGTAAGGACAGAGCGTACACTGGCTGAAGCCAGTGCATTACAAGCTCTTGAGAACTCTGAGGCAGTTTAGGACAACATCTTTTTGCAAGTAAAATTAATGTGTAAGAATGACCTATTGCACCATTGTTGGGATACTTCTTGACAGAAGTTATACAGTCCTTGGAATTTAGTACAATGTGTACCAGTTGAGACGTCTGCCTACCACTGGACTGAGCTGCAGATTAAACTTTTTTTTAATGGAACTCCCTTAAAATGGTAGTTTGCCAGTTTGACCTCCAAACCCAAAGGACTCTATTTAAGACAGATTCTCTTTACCATACAGAGTTTAACTTAAGCTGTGAAAGAAGGGTTTTGCTCTCCAGAGTTGACAAAAGAGCCAATCTAATCCTTCCTTTAGCTGAACAGCCTGAGGTTTCAGCAAATTTCAGTCTTTGCATTCTGGTGCTGGAAAGTAGTGAAGATCAGGCACTAATTAATAATCTCTCAAACATTTTGAAAAATTAATGGTCTAACTAGCATTTTAAAGCATCCCAAATAATGTCAGGTTGTCATTGCAGTTCAATTTACTGGTTTTTCAGTTAAGTGGATACTCGAGTACCTTAAGGTTACTTGAACATTTTTCAAATTGCTTTATTTATATTTACCTTCAGAAACAAACTCATACTATTATTTCTATTTGGTGTAAATATTCTGCAATTTTAGGGATGTTCTTTTGAAATAATCTATATCTTACAGTATGTGCTCAGGAAAGAGTTGCGACTATAATACAGACAGTAAATTTAGGCTGCTCATTTACATAGCTGTTTATTCACCTGATGAGTCACAGCATCAGCACCTCCACTAGCCACATGAAATTTAACAATTAAAAAGATTCAAATGATAGTTTATTGACAAAGAATGAGCCTAAGCTTCCATTCAAACCCTTGTCTCTGCACATTTTGGTTTGGCTCAGCTGACACATCTCTACACTGGTGTATGAGAATGATGATAGGAAAAGACTGTATTTGGACTTCTTTCGGTGAAGGATTAAGCATTGTGTATAATCTTGTTATTTTTGACTGTCTTTATTCCATCCCCCTTTTCCTAGGCTAAAGGAGTTTTGTGTCTTCCTGGTAGCAGTAGATTTGCAAAGCTCCCACTGACAGAACAATTGCATTTTACATGTTCCTTCCACATGAGGCATTCCCAGGAAATAATTACATGGGAATAGATACCTTTGTGGAATGGAGCCATAAAGGGCAGTGAGAAATTGGGCTAGCCAGTACCTGTCATGCTGACTTGCTCTTCTCATTGTTTCCTTGTACTTTCTCATTCACTTGTATTTTTTTCACTCTTACAAGTACATGCTTGGGGGAGGAACTGTCATTCTGTTCTGCATGTGACCAGTTTTATCTTATTTTAAAGGTAGGTAAGAATATTTCTTTGCCATCATCTATTAGGGCTTGGAGAGTTTAAGATGAGTTGGAGAACTCAGAAAATGAGATTTCGTTGGGCTTGCCCACTTTAGTAGAAAAAAATATACACCACATTTTTCCAATTTGCCACCATTAACTTCTGGCTGGAATAGGCTGCTGCTTCTGCCCTCTGTCCTTAAAGCAGCTGTGGGCTGTGCTCCCAGTACAGTGTGGCTCCTGTCCACAGCTTGGTCTCATTGGTACTCTTAGCCTGAAGGACAGAAGGGTCTCCTAACTTTCCTGAAGAGAATTTGTAAACAACCTCCTAAAATCAGAGGACTGAAAAGGAGCCAAAACAATTGGTGGCCAGTGAGGGAGAAATTAATTTTGTTTCACTTCCATTCACAAGTCACCTGGAAAACAAGAATGCCACTCGAACTTTAAAGACAGAAGAGATAGTTGTAGATACTCTCTATTAATAAAGTTGGGGTTCTGTCCATAATGTAAGAGTTAAAACCTAGCACTAAAATAATTGTTGAGAAAGCCAGGGTGCTGATTATGTTGAAAAGCTGTAACCATGTAAAAATGCACAGTGAAGACACCCAAAGCATCTTAAACTCGCTCCCACAGTGATACCCAGAAGGGAGAGTTTTCAGTCAGTCTGTATGTGGGAACCTGAGGAACAAAACACTGGAGTGTTTTACTCCAAGTTGTGTAATGGCATTCCAAACTTTGCATTTCACATCCACACCCTCTCCAAAGGAATGGGGAAAAAAAAAAAAAAAAGCTGACGTAGAGGCTCTAAGCCACTCCTCTGTAGTTTGTAAAAAGGAAAAAGAAGGAGTGGTGGCATTTCTGCTGTCTCTTTGCTACTGTCTGTTTAGAAACAATACTTCACTATAAGGATACTATGAAATTGGAACGTTTCTCCAGGGACAACAGGCAGAGCAGGGAGAGGAGAGGAAGGAGTGCAGCTGCATGATGCAGTCACTGTATTCCCACTTGCATTATGAAGCTCTGGAGGCACTGTGTCTGCTTGATTCTCCTGGACTTTCTTGATTTTTGCTGACCCTTACACAAGGCACTGCTGCCTTGAATCACAATTGAGCATATATAATCCTCAAACCACCAGAGAATTCTGCTATAGATTCACACAGTCTGAAAACCTGCTGTAATTTGTCCTGATGTTAAAGTAATCTTTGTATTACACCTCACTCCTTGAAAAGTGTTACTTTTATTGATGAGTCAGTGGTTGAAATGTAATAAATACCAGACTAACCTTATCTATCATATGCAATGTATCAATTAGCTTTTTGGCCTCAGGAAATGTGTGAGCAAGTGACCAAAACAGTTTAATTCACAGATGTGTGCACAAATCACCTGGATTGCAGTCCGCAGCTTAAATGATGTGATTACACACCACATCTTAAATGATGGGTTATGAAACTTCATCATGGGATTTCAGGTATATTGGCTTAGAAATCTTCCTTAACTTTTCCTGGTGTCGCAATGTGCGGCCTTGTTTATGGGCAAGACCCATAGGAGGCAGATGGATCTGGAAAAGAAAATCCCACCAGTTAGGTGCAAACTGAGAAGGTACAAGAAAAAGGCAGCATTTATACAGACTAGGTTTCAATGAGTTCTAAATAATTTCTTCACACTTTGGAGAGGGCAACTGTACTAACTTTTCTGTTTATTAAAATCCTATATATTTTATGCTTTAGTAACCTTGTTTTGTAGCTTGACACCAGACTGTAATGATAAAATACTTGTTGAAATAGGACTGCTGACAATGTTCCAGAGCAGAAAGACCTAGAAACCCCTAAAGATTCCTCAGTAGATGTCTTAAAGCAGTGTGCTTTATGCATACCTACCTAGCAAGTCACAAAATAACCCCTAACTGTATGTATTGAAAGACTGCCTTCTTATTGTCATGGTTATATATACCATATTAAAATGCACAATCAATGTCATTGACTCCACAAGCAGAAGGAGCAATAGGTGACAGGCTCTTCCTTTGATTGACAAAGTCTTTATATTTCATAAGACTGTTAGTGGGAGTCATGCAGCTATATCCCCCCTAAGTGATTGAAAAATGTAGGTGTTAGCAGTCAGATGTTATTGTTGCTGAGGCTGTCATCCTGTAAGAGAGCTGTTTAGGTGCAAATAGTAGTAAAAGCACTGACTGCAGCAATAGAGATTTCTAGAATCTGAAAAATAATGATTATCCAGTTTGTCTGAGAGCGCTGATCTAGGACTGATCCTTTGGGATTTTGAAGCTGCTGCAGAGCACACATTTCAAGCCCATTTCTAGAAGCACTGTTTGCCAGATGTGCATTGTTATGCTGTATACTGGAGAAAAAGCTGTATGCGAAACCGATGCTAACAGTGACCATATTCTAGGCAAGCATCTGATGAAGATACAATTAAATTTTGACCATGACTGCCTTGATAAGGAAACTACAGATGTGAAAATATAAACTGATCAACAGAAGTAGACAGGAAGTCTCTATGGGAGGCAGCATGAAGTACTACAGGCAGAAGTGACTGGGCAGTGAGGAAACTATATCGAATGGTGCAATAGAAGACACTCCTGCAACTTCTAGCATTTCAGTAATCTTGGACATGTTTTTTTCTAGGAACAGGGGAAAAGAAGCAGCAACATAGGCAAGTGCTTTATAAGACCTGATTTATGACCAGGAGAACAGCTACATGTAATGTTGGCTATGAAAATTATTGTATCTATGGCAGATGTAATTAAGTCTTTTTGTTCTCTCATTCTCTTTTATGATGTGGAAAGATTAACTGATTTGATTCCATTACTGTATTTTTCTACATTCATTGGTCAGACAAGACTGCCTAAATATTCACAAACCTTGGGAGTTTAGCTCATGCAACCACATTTACGCTTTGACTCCTTATTTTGAGAAGAAATTAGCCAATTTACAGTGAAATAAGAGAGATGGACAACATTTCAATATACACTTGGCTTCTTTGGCTCTGATTTAGCATAACATTTATATACTGGCTTATCTAAAAATTCAGTGCGCTGACAGTGATGTGAACTTAAGGTTTTATTGTCCAGCAAGAGCTAAGTGGAATAGCTGAAGTCTTTGTGACTAGATTTATACTCACAGGTCTCGGGTAGGGGATGTTATAGTGAAGTCCAATTTCTATTCTTGCCTCACATTCTTCTATACACTGCTTAATCAATTTTGGATCTGTTACCTAAGATCATACAAACAACTGTTTTGTACAAGTACAGCAATTAGCAATTGGAAGCTCAAGCGCAAATGATGCACAGCCACATGACCTCCTTTAGCTTTTTTTGGCAGTCCCAAGGATACAATGATTGTATTTTTCACATCCATAAAAGGTAACATTAGTATTTGCCTTGACTCAACAGTTCTGGGCTTGATGGCACTGGATATTAAGGCCCAGAGGCTGTCACGACTAAGGCTAGACATGGCGGTTTTTACCCAAACATGGTATTTTCTCTGTAGAAAGACAATACACATGTAAACTACTAATATATCACGAAAAAACCCACATGCACCCATTCATTGCCCTGCAACATAGCTAGAGTAGAAAGGGAAAAGACTCCTGGTCTTTTGGTCTACATTCTGTTATCATCCTATCCAGAAACTTCCTTTGAAGTCAGAAATGTGGTGTAAATTGTGACTTAAATTCATTTTTTGATTTTGCATTACTTCAACTTAATTCCAGACCAAAATGGGATATACGTAAGAACTGTGATCTTGAATTACAAGAAGGGCCTCTGATTACCACGGAGTCTGTATCGCCCCTTTCAAAAGGGGTTTGAAATTTCTTCCTTAAGAAAAAAATTAAAGTGCTTCTTTTAAAAGAAGTGTTAATAATTGCTGCTTTGAAAAGAAAAAAGGAAGTATAAGGAGCTACTGAGCTCTGTTTGCCATTGCATGGGTAATGATACACTTAGCTAGCTTTCTAAAAGATCAAAAGCTGCTTCAATTACATAGGCAGTATATATTTGGAACTTAATTTTTTTCTTGGCATTTTTTTAGTGAAAGCTCTAGACATTTTAGACTTCTACAGTAGTTAATGAAGAGCTGAAATGGTTTGAGTTTTCTTATTACTATCTCAGGGGTGTATAACTCGAATACACCAGCATTTAAGGTGAATGAAATTTTGGGAAATCAACTCATATTCATATCTTAGCATCCAATCACTGAGACAGTGCAAAGAGCAAGAGGAGAATAATTCAGAAATTCAAAACTGTAAGGACACTCACATCTTTGTTTTTTCGGAATAATGTTCTGGCTTCATTTTTAATGTACTCTTTCTCTTTAATAGTTTCTTCTATCTGTCCTGATGCCGATTGCCATTTTTTGGCTATTTGGAATATCTTGCGGTAAAGGCTGAGAACTTCTTGTCGAGTAACTGGTGTCATCTAAAAAAGCAACACAAAACCCCAAACATATGCATGAACACTTAAGTTGCTAAAAGGCCAGCAAGCAGTACTTTATTCACACAACTGAATTAGTTTAAAAATATTTCCACTATCTAAAGATATGCTGAGCTGTATGAAAAAAACAGAAATAGCTGTAAACAATAATTAGCTGTTGAAAGCTGAAGACCCAGTCCAGCAAAGTATTTAAACTGATACTTAAACCCTTCTCCATTCAGCTTGAGCTCTTGCTCGAAGTTAAGCGCTTGCTTTAGCGCTTTGCTGAATCCCAAGCCTGGGACAAGAATGCCTGTGTTGTGTTTCACTGCTATTTCGCAACAGACATTGGGCAAGTCAACAAAACTCTGAGCATCCCCCTTCCTGTGAAATTGTCATACCAGTGCTGTCCCTATCTTTGCAAAGCATCTTGAAATCTGTGAATAGAATACATGATAAAACCACCACAATATTGCTGAAAATCAGTATCGGTTTCAGAAGCTGAGAAGTTTATTTGTGATACCACTACAGTATGTAGTGATGATTCAGCTGGAGTTTGATGTGATGAAAAGGTGAGGAAAGCTATTTTATCTAAGCACTGCAGGAGAGGCGGACTAACTGTGGATTTAGGAAAGTCCTGAATGTCTTGATTTTCAGAGCTGTGTACCTGCTGAGCCCACTGAATCAGCCTCCAGGTGTGATGAGTCTTTGTTAGAGGTGAAGAATGAAATCCTGTTCTTATTCTATGTAAATGAGTATTTTATCATGTAAGTCGTGACACTATTTCATGCCAGACCACAAATATCTCTGAGACAAATCCACTGCTGGAATAACAACACTTCTGACATGGATGAGATTCACAGAAACAATGATTTCTGCTTTAGGGACACTGCAGCTGTCACAGGTACCCCACTGGCCAAAGGGGGATGCCACAGCACGGAAAATGATATGGATACATTGCGGAACAAGTGTAGGGGACAGGACATTTTCTGTCTCAGGATCCATGTGCCAACCTGGCGCTTTAGTTAGTTACTGTGGCTGAATCTACCCCAAATCAGAGCTGTGAGCTGAGACCAGGAGAACAATCTGGAGCAGGATAATTCAGACAGCCTGAACTGTCCTCCGGAGGGAGCACTCTCTCCCTCGGTGATGGAGGGAAAGCTGCTTCCTCATGCGCGCACCTGAACTACTGCGGGGAGTTTGGCAATGTGGCTCTCGCTCATCTCCTTGCAGTCTGCGGCAAGTCCTATTACTGTGGAGACTAGAAGAGGGGTTTGAACCAAAGTCTTCCCAAGCCATACAGTTCTCAAGTGGCTGTCTCCACCACAGCCGCTGAGCTCCACTGCTGTTTCAGGACGGACCTCCTGCGGCTTCAGACAGTCACAGCGTCTTTTCTTCACCAAAAATGGAATTACAGATGCTAACCTGAAGACAGGATTTGGCCCATTGAACTTTTTATTTTAAAAATCCCAAACTATTAAATCCTAGCCTTTTTTTGTCTTAACTGTTGCTACGATCTAAAGATTTTTTTGTTGTTTCATGAACTGTTAGGGCTCTTAAGAAGTACAGACATAAAACTGGTTTTCTCTGATTCTTAAGAGAAAACATTTTTATTTTGCTATTTGTATTTCAAAATTTTTAACCAATTGTATTTTCCCCCTAGATATAGAAATTATTCTTTTAGAAGGTATTTCTAGTAAATGTTTATGGTATTTTCTAGGAAACAAATACCCACAATAAAATAGCTAGGTAAGTCAAACTCATCAAACATTTTGGAATAAACGCTTCACTTTATCCACACTACAGTTCCATTTCAGGCAATAAGTCATACACAAAGCTACGCATGTACATGTATCTGAAAAATCATTGCTTCCCTCTGTCAAGTACATATTTTGTACAGAAAATAATCAGTTCAATTACAAGGGCTGACCTAGAATAAACTGAGTCCCAAATCATGTTCTTGCTTGGAGCCCCTCCTGACCTCACCCCTTTGCTTTTATTTGAAGGTGTCACCTGTGGTGGAGCTGGTGATACTCTTTGTTCCCTGCTGATAGCTAATTAAAGGTAGTACTGCACTAGAGACTTTGAGCTTAGGTTTTCATGTAATCCATAAAGAAAATAAGAGGAACAATGTCATGGGAAAAAAATGTTTAAAATACAGGTTTAAATTCTGATCTATGCATCAGCCAGTTTCCAAGGCCACAACTTGGGACAGTGCCCTTGGCTCAGAACCGTAATCACACCTGTTGCTTTTGGATTTTAAAAATACCAAGAATCTGTTTATAAAGATTTTCTTTAAAGTTTAGAACCAACATTTTTTTTCCTCACTATTTGCTTTGGCTCCCCCACCCAGAACTTATTTTTTCTTTCTTTAATCTTTTGGTGTTGGAATTGATACAGAACTGTGTGTCCCCTCATCTAGGCATGGGCTGCATTTCTGCATTATTGTTCTCCTTCCCACATATGCTAGATGATATAAAAGACATTAAGCAGTTTTTCATATATACTCGGCAACCAGCTGCTTCCATGGCTCATTTAGTCAACAATTTCTAACATTACAGACCTGCTCATAAACCATTTCTGCAAAGATACATAAATGAAAGTGTGAAGAGCCCTTCACAGAGAACCCTCATCTATCACGGGAAAGGATGAGAGCAAATAGGACAAAATTCAAAGCCTGGGTCAGATTCTGATCCAATTGGGATTGTAAACAGGGAATAATTCCACTGAGAGCAAAATTACCTCCAACTTAAAATGTCGTAAATGAGATTGGAATTTTTTTCTTTGGTAGAAACTGAGCCCACACCAACCGAAATGTGACAGTACAAGTCATGTATCAGGTGTAATTTTGTTAAGTGACACTACTTGTATTAGTTTTGTGGGTGTGCAAAATGATTCTGAGTGGGACAGAAAGGAAGATAAGGGAGGCTTTCATGTCCTTGTAGTTACTCATCTTGCAACTTGCAATCTTTGGCATTTAAATCATAATTACATTTCACATCTCTGGAATGCTAAATGGATGTTACACCACTTTCCCACTAACACTCATCTTGTGGTAGTCACACCCATTGTTTAACTTCTACCGCCCTTCATTTCATTGCAGAATGCAGCCCACAGAGGTTAACCACAGGCGTTTTTGTCAAAAAGCACAGGGCTATTGTATTAGCTGAGCAAATTTCAGGTGTTTACTACAACAAAACAAACCCAGAAGAGGTCAAAGGTAGGTCTGTACACAGAAATGTATCAAATGGGAAAAGTGGTAGGTTGCAGGCTGGTTTTGAGATGATTGTTAGAATTAAGCTTTTGGAGGAAAGCCAAGCGTTGCCTTCCAAATAAGCATTTGCTGGATACTGTGGCAGAGTTCTGACAATGCAGGGTTGTATCAGTCTTTTGATCTACATGCAAACCCCTGTTATCAACATGCAGATCAAGCACATGAAATATCCCATTGTATCCAAACTTGCAAAGGAGGCATGAGCAGTTAATGAGTTACTGCATGATGAAGATGCAAACTTTTTTCATTGTTAATTAAAACAAATAATCCTTTAGACTATAAAATGTAATAACAAGTTTTTCTTCCAGGAAACAAATATGCATTCCTTTGGATTTTTAGATGGTTGACGCAGAAGTTCAATAATCTGAATAATCAGTGAAACACCGGTTGTCTTTTGCTATTTGCAGGTCTGGTTAGAATTTAAATCAAAAGTTTATATAAAAATAAACAACTGCACTGTAAAGTGACTCCAATAGTGAGCTGTCAAAGCAAGTTAGGACAGAAGGCAAGCTGCATGGAGACTGACTACTTACATATGAGCAGCTAAATTACAGCTGCTTCCCAGCTAAGAATGTGTGTCCAGCACTCTCCTCCTATCTGCACAGCTCCTTTACTGAAGTTGTAAGTCTATTTTATTTCATTCTTTCTTTCCAAGTCAAGCATTAGCTACTCACTTTAAACATAAAACCTGCCAGCAGTAAGTACATGGAGGATTTTAGGAAACAAAGGGTGAAAGTAATAGCTCATGGGGAAAAAAAAAAAATAAAATTAAAACAATAGATCTCTTCTTTTACATCCCAGCTAACTAGGGCACGTGTTACTAACACACACTTAGTGCTGATGCTGAAACCATATTTGCTCAGGGGAGGAGATGGTGGGAAGCAGAACTCTTTGTGAAATAATCTGAAAAAGCAGCTTTGAACTTCTCAGGTGTTAAATATTTTATTTAGGAGCAACACAGCTTCTACTTGACAGTTGGTTTGCTCCTAAAGACACAATGACAAACTGCTGGGCTGACTGTCTTTTGAATCAAGCTATGATCACATTTCTGTTATGGAAATAAATGACATAATTCAAAAGCATAGTGTATCAACATTATAGTATGGAACATCATTAGCTACTGCCTGTATGAAAAACTGTATCTTATATTTTCAAATGCACTCTTTGGGTAATGTTTATTTAAAGAGAAGCAAAAAACTGTGCATATCTGGCTTTTTTTTATTTTCTTAAAGAGCTAAATTATACCACTTAGCTAAATAGTGACCTGCAGTCTCTCTCCTGCTGCTAATGCAACAGATAATCAATCATTCTTTTCACAGCTATCCACAGCAACTAGAGGTCAGTAATCTATATTCATCTTTCATGCAAGTCTGCCAAAATGAGTCTGCAGTTCTTAAGGCAGCAATGAATTTGGTCTATCATTTCCTTGAGGGACAACAACTGAAACAATGAGTTCCTGTGGCACAGGGAGAAGTGAAGGGGTCACAGATTCCTGTGATAGCTGGGCAGGTCACATGCCTTCCAGTGATATTAAATTTCAAAACCCAGTTTCCACAAAAGTAATTTTATCTTCTTTTACTCAAATCAATGACTTAGTGGCCTGTGACAGCTAGTACCCTGCAAACATCGGCCACATGTGGCTGCAGCATGTACCTAGCATAGTGAAAACTTAATGTGATTTTTCATTCTTGATTGAACATTCATACATTTTTTATTTAAGATTCAGCCAAAACCAAATCATAGCAAAATTTCAAATCACAGCTAAAATATTCCATTTCCACAGGGTGAAAACCAAACTAAAATGAAAGATCATATTCTTCCATGGTGGTGTTACATCCTCATTTCTACCAGTGATGTAAGCCTGCAAATTTCAAGATGTTTCCATCAAGGATTAATCTGACTCCAAGTATTTCTCACTGTTTCCATCTACAAGCTGCAATCATAAACCTATGCCGATTTGGTGAAAAAGAACCAAGTTACTGAATGGAATTATTCAGTAAACAATATCTGAAAGCAAGGTGACTTTCACATGGTTTGAGATTTTGTCACAGCAGTATCTTTCTGCTGGCAAACTGAAGTGATCTGAAACCCACCCCGATCTGAAACACCAATCGACACCTCTGAACCAGCCTCACTAAGTCTTTGTACTTACACTGTTCATCAGCTGGGATGAGAACTCTGCCATTCTATTCATGCCTCGGATTTCTGACTGAATTTGGATCTCTTTTAAACTTTGTCTTACATATGGAGCGGTCTTTTGATCATAAAAATGAAACTGCATGCAAAAAGAACATAATTAAATAGTAAAAGTGAGCGCTTGGATTTTATCACTGGTTTTCCTATGTAATTTCAAGGAAATGAAATTGCAGAAAATTAGGATTCTACAACATTCTCTTCATTTGAATAAATGGAAGTGGAAACACTTAACTAGTCCCTTTTGATCACAGAGTTTTCATTTCCTTAGTCTGAGGTGGTCTAAGAATTCTCTGGTTTTAGTAGAACACACAGACGTGCTCTGGGAGTGCCTCCTGTGCTGTAGTAGCCTCAGGAAGAACAGAAATGCTGACTTGGACTGTGGAGAGGGGGAGGGGAAACACAAAACCAATTGCTTTACACATTTTTTTTAGCTTTCTTCTGAAAAGCATGTAGTGTCCAGGTAAACTCTAAAGCAATATGAGCTTGTTTCTAATCTTGTGCAACCCTGTTGCTCATGCTTTCAAACCTTTAGAACCATTTTTGCCTCCTTTGTGCTTAGTTCTGTATTAGTTGCAAGCAGAGAAAGAGGTTTTAATGCAGTGCAACAAATTCAGCAGAGAAAATGAAGTCTCAGCTATCCTTGAATAGCCTTACTTATATAATATAGAAGCATACAGAAATATAACAACATGGAGACAAAACTGAGTATGGATTTATGCACCTTATTCATAACTTGGCTTCAAGCCAAATGCAACTGAATGCATGAATAGAAATATTTTCCAGCACTGGAAATGCTCCCAAACTCTAGAACAGGTATAAATAGTAATGCTAGCAGAGAATCAATCCTCCCTACTCCCTTTCTTACTTTGTTCTGTGGGTCATTTAATAAAATACATTTCATGAACCCTCTGCTTCAGTTTCCAAACACTGCAGTCCCAGAACATGGATAAATATGATTTTTAGACACTATTTGAGAACTATAGCAGGGTGCACATCAAAAAAAGGATTTGTTTCTCGGAAACGAAGCATGTGAATCCCATTCAAATTTGTGACTTTGGCCAACAAAGCCTCGCACAGTATTTTTACTAAACTCTCCTGAATGGCGTATGGAAAAGCCTTTGGGGCCTCCTGCCTCACAGACAGCACACGGGCTGAGAACACTGGGTCCGGGGAAGAGCCGCTCTGTCTGTCCCAGGGCCTTCTCCCCGTTTCCGCGGGGAGAGGACCCTCCGGCCTGCTGGTGAGGGGACGGGAGGACATCTCCCGGACACGAGCTCCAGGTCAGCAGCAACTGCAGGCCCAGGTGAGAGGGGTCAGGGCTCATCACGCACAGGCCCTTCCCCACACCGCCTGGCACCCGGGCCATCCCGCAGCCCCTGGTGCCATCAGGCAGGCACAGGGACTGTGCTGGGCAGCGAGGCGGCCACGTTCCCCACTCAGGGGGCCAGGCGTACCCCGGCAAAGGCCACGACAGCACAGCACGGAGCAGGCAGCGGCTCAGCGGACGCGTAGCGCTGGGTGCTGCCGAGCCGAGCCTGCCCGGCACTAACTCGTGTGCCCCGAGTAATGGTGCTGGCTCACTTCAGGGTTTTTTTTTTCCTTATTTTTTTTATTCTGGCTTGTGCCATCTGCAGGAACCTAAAACGTCTCTTGACAGACCACCTCTCTGCATGCAGCACCGCATCCCCTCCAGGGCTGAGGAGATCAGCTGCTTTGTTCAAACACTCTTCGTGCCCAGCCTTTACACGCGTATCTTCGCGTAGATACGCTAGAAGGTGTATCTTCATACTGTTTTCAGGAAAAAGGCAGAGGTAAAATGTAGACCAATCTATTTCCGAGGTAGTTCTTGTAATCTGAACGTACCACCTTTGCACAGCCACTTTTCTTATTACTTTAGCTTTCAGTCCTTTTCCTAAGTATGTTTACCATTCCTATGAAAGCTGCAATCTGCGTTAATCACTCTAACTCTCTGGGGCTGTGCTGGTACTAATAAGCCACTCATAACGACTTAAATTGTAACTTGCATAATCAGAGTTTCAAGCAAATACTGGTTGAAAGAATATGCCTTTCCTATTAGTGCTGTGGTTGCTGGAAAGAATCATTGATTATCTTTTAAATAGTTAACACTGCTGATACGCTAGCCTTCAAAATGTTACATTGATAACTGGACAGTCTGATGCCAAGTATCGGAGTAACAGCATTGATCCATAGCTGGTAACTTTTTTTAAATGGTAATGTCTGCCGCATAATTTAAAGAGATAATAGGTTAAGTGCTCTGAAAAAACGGATATAGATGTCCAAACAAAACACACAGAACTGCCTTACCTTTCTGAAAATTACAGAGGGGCCTTACTGGCAGTTGCAGTTGTGCTGCATGGTCTGTCTTTTTTCTGGGAGAACAGTTGATCAAAAGACATTTATGTTCTTATCATCTATTGAAGAGCCTCTTTGTTAGACAATTAACATATAACTATGGTATTAGTGTTTTAGCTAGCATTCAGAAGAGAGAGTGTCTGAGTACTGAGGTTTCTCAAGCGCATCTGAACACTGCTGCATGTTTCCCTGGTAAAAGATAATCCTCAGAAAGGGATGTGTAGTCCCTTGGTTAAGATTGCATATGAAAGTAAAGAGATCTGACTTTGTGTTCTTGTCAGTTCTGTAGTTTGTCTTTAAATCTTCCCTGCACAGGTGTGCATTAGTGGTCTGTGGAAAACCTTCATTGCCCTTTGTGTGAAAGGCAGCACACAGTCTAAAGCAAAGATTTTCTGCACATCAGCAGAAAAAGGAGAGCTTGTGATCTGTGTTGAATTAGTTCAGATTTGTAAAGTGCAACTGGCTTTACAACTTACTGCAAATATCAGCTCTTATAGTGATTTCTAAAATTCTGATTATTTCCTAATAGCAAGTTGTATGCAGGCATGAACTATTATCCTTTTAAAATTTCATAAAACTATTAATGGGGGAGCTTAAAGCTTTGATACTACTTGGCTGCTCAATGTGATGCTTCTGAAATTGCTTTCATCTTGAGACTGATAGCCTGCGATATGATCTGTAATCAGCTTCTGGATCTTTAAGGCTGGGTTAGGTGCCTTCTCTACACAATTGCTTGCTTTATTTTGGAGTTGAACATTGTCATGTTCATAGCAAATTCTAACTGATCTGTGTCGGTAGTTGTTATATTTGTCGATCTTGGGAATTCATTCATAATTACATCTTGCTTCCATTTAGTGTGAATTGTATTAAAAAAATGTGATCAGATGAAGTGAAGGGGTGGCTTTGAGAGAAAACTAAGAACAGCTCTTTTGGAAGACTGTTGCTGAAATTAGTTAAGTATATATTGAGCAAGAGGGGCTGCCAGACAATTTGACAGACTTCTAAGACAAAGGGACTTGTTCTGACAAATTTGTGTGTGGATGAGGAAGAGGCTTGGTTCTGCTGCTTTCTTCAGCTTAAGGAACAGGAAAAAATCCTGTATGTTGTATGTATGTGTATTGGAGCAGTGGAATATAAAGTAGATGAAAGGTGGGTGGAAGAGTGGGGGATAGACATGACTCTTCTCAACTTGCATTTCCTTATGGCAGAAAATGATGTAAAGGTGGTTTGGATATAACGAGGTGAACAGCTGCAAGCCAGCAGGAGTGTGAGTCCCACGGTACAGCTCAGAACTGTCCCACACTGTAGCACTCGGTTTTCTTTACTGGTGCTGGGGAAGTGTTGATAAATTTAATTTAAAGCCTTGGAGCACTATAAAATCCATTGTGGTGGGGTTTTGGCAGTTTGTAAGAACTTGCAAAGTGCAGAAACAATGTTATTGTTCCATTAGGTACATGGGTTTGTAGTACTGAATCTAACAGGAAAACTGCTCTGACTAAGAAGAGACTGTAAAAATAAAGGCATGGGATGTTGGAAAAATAATCTGTCCATTCATCTTCACCCTTAAAAATAAAGGAGCTGAAGATTGGTAGCCACAATTCTTGGAGACTGAAAGAACAATCTGTAAACACTTAAGGGACTTGGTAGTCACAGGAAGATAAGAGGGAACCCCCTTAACAGCCTTCATCAGTATTCCCTGACTGGGCTCCTTCTCTCTGGCTGCTTCTCCCTAGGGGTCTGCATCTTATCTGGCTGGCTTCCTTTCCTCTATTTGCCTCTGACTAATAGGCTTTGTCTTCTGGTTACTGGAAGTCTAATAATTTCTTTTGTCTCTTCCATCTTCCTCCTTTTAAAAATACTAGATTAAATGGCTGTAATGTTTTGCAGATTATCTGCATTGGTGACATGGATTAATTGTATACTTTAAGTTATTCAGCAGTAATGACATAGTAACTTGACTTGAAACAATGGTAATTTCATGGCAAATGTTCAAGGCAAATGTTGCCTTCTGGTAAAGAGCCACCTGCAATTTACCCCCTGTAAACATATGACACGAGTAAACTGTCTGTGCTAGTTTTCTCAGTGTCTTTATACAGTAAATTGTCTCAAGTGTGTCTTCTGAAACAGTCAGCTATCTCTCTTCCTCCCCCCTCCTCCCCTTTTGACTCTGGTTTGAGTCAGGTAATTACAGATCTAGGTGTAAGCCTTCCCAGGGAGTGATCAGAAAAGCCAAGACTTGCAGACGTGCTCCATCATTCGCTTGTACTTTGACTTCACCCTTTCACGAGAAGGTTTTGTGGAACTGCTCAGCTATTGGTAACTGGCTGTGGGTGAACAAGTCGGAGAGCCCCAGGAGTGGTGGTGGTTGGCAAGGCAAAGGGGAGCTCTGCTTTCCATTGCACAAATGCCAGTATTTTTTATGGTGATGTGAGGAGATTCACCTTGTCACATGTGGCTTTGGTGTGACAGTTTAGTGATGTTTTTACATTCTGATCTTGGTGTTAACTAGAACAGAGCAAATATGGGAAGAGAAAGTGAATCAAAGCTTCTTGCCTAGAAGATAATCTGAGAACTGATCCCTTTAGACTTGTTATGTCTCCATTTTATCTATATATCTTTGGGGTCAGCTCTTCAGTCCAGTGACCTGCATCTTGAAAGAAGCAGAAAATACAGATTTTAGGTAAAAGTTACTTAATTGCAATGTTTTGGTACTAGAAGAGTGATGGTTAGGTGACTA